AAATGAGAGCAGGATTTGGAGACTGCTTGCCAGGGTTTCTTACAGCTGTGTCAGGCCAGTTTAAAGATCTTTTCTTATTCTGATTTTGCTATAGCTGACCTGTACACAAATGCAGTGGATAAAAGAAGAATGAAGAAATGATGCTCTACCACCTTATTTTGGTACACTTGAACTGATCCAAATTAAGATACAAAAAGAAAGGCATTTTTAAGGATTCTCATGTCTGCACAGTTAAGGTTGGCCTTCCACATTCATTCAGCAGGGATTATCAGAAAATTCAGCTTGTTTGAAGCTGATCGTGCCTGCAGATACCTGAACATTTTGCAGCATTGGACTAAAGCACCTACCTGCTTGGGGTTTGGACTCAGGTTAAATAAAACTAGCATTGCAGGGCTTTGTCTTTGCTGTGATTTTTCCACTGGGGAAACATTTTTCTGAGGGTTAACTACCACAAGAAGAAAGACTATCCAGCTTTATTTTAGTATTCAAGATGGTTCTTGTGTAATTCTAGCACCTTGTGCTCAGTGGTTAGCCTTAAAATCACAATAGAAAGACTGACTGTCTGCCTTCTCTACCTATTGTGTAAGGTTTATAGCACCACTGTGATGCCTTGAATCAATGGGTAACAGCTAAACCTTTGCATTAATGGAGTCTGGGGATAGTGAACTGCACCAAAATGGGCAGTGGCCTCTGATTGTGCCCATGAAGAGGTGATGGCCACCAGCCAGGCTGCGCTAGTGCAGTCATCACAAACTTTTATTATGCTGCATCATTACGTTGAACAATTATGGGAAACTTAGCTTTGACAAGCCACTTCACTTTTCTAAAACTGCAGAAATGCTTTTGAAACAGTTATTACAATATTTATAATTGCTGGTGGATATTTGCCTTTGCATCTTGGGCAATTTATCAAAACAGCAAAGTGTTAGCAACACCATCTTAGTTTTAAGAATGACCTTGAAAACAAACCATTACACAGTGAAGACACTTGTGCTATGATGAGCTGACCAACTCATCTTTATTAATCCTCAAAGCTGGTCAGGTCTTACAATTTACTTGTAAACACAGCAATATTCAGGTTGTGAACTGAAGCTCCATGTCCTGAGAGCATGTCATTACGTGCAGATTTCAAGACTTCAGTTTCAGAAAGGGAGGAGCACAGAAGGGTAGCTGATTTGTTTGAGTCTGGAGTTGCAAAGAAAAACCTTAGCACAATTAAGGCTCAGAAAGTATGAGGTACAAGAGAACAAGGTAGTATTTATTATGTAAAAAAATCTTATTGATTAAACAGTTGTGCTACGTAGCAGGGGCAAACAAAAGAAAACATAAACAGCAAAAGATTTGAGAAGAAATCCTAATACTTCAGAACATAGTGGGGCAGAGAATCTGAGAGGCAATGTTTCTGTTTTTCTCACTTGGGTTTAAAAAAGAATCAGGATGTTTAAACCCCCTAGATACATTCTAGGTTGTACAGTGACCTGATGGCTGTGGGGGTACAGCAGCATAAATCCAGTATAAGAGAGTAAAGATACCTTTACGTAAGAATCTGGCTTTATGGAAATAACATTGAACTTTAATTTTCACATTAATTTCATCTGGAAATGGTGGGTTGCAGCTACTCCTATTTTAATATGGGCATTTCTTGATAAATGCACAAAGGAGGCAGTGTTGAAAACCACCAGAGCTTGAGCAGACCAGGAGCAGGAGATGGCATTGCCAGTTCAGCTGAGTGTGGCTGAGGCAGGATTTTAGGGGATGAGGTCGAGTGAAGGTCCCCTGTCAGGCCTGGATCTCTGCCTCCATGTCACTCTTCCCCTGGTGGGTTTCAAAATATTCAGAGCTGGTGCAAGATTCCCACCACAGAGCTGTAGTATGGTTTGAGTTGGAAGAAGAGAACTTTGTTTATTTATACATCCTTTATGATATATTTTTCTGCCTTCCTAGCGTGTTGGCTACTCCCAGGGACAGCTGAGTTAAGGGATTAAAAGGAACTCTGAGGAAATATTACTGATTTTAAATGACCCTCAGTCATTTTAAATGACCCTCTATCTCCACTCTGTTCTTCATGAGATGTACCTTCTCTCACTGAGGATACCTGTCAGAAGCGCTTCTCAATACCCAAATCCCAAACTGCACAATTCGTGATGAAGTAACTACCTCTCTTTGGGGTGTAATACTAGAATTTGCCCATGCAGCACATTCCCTGGGGAAAAAAAAAACAACAACCAACAACAAAACAACAAAACCCAAAACCAACCAACCAAAAAAACCTCAACCAAATAGTAAATAGTTGAAGTCTCAAGTTTCAGGTAGAAGTTAGAAATGAGAAAAGAAAGCTGTTGCAGCAATGTGAGGCAGGGTGCTCTCCTCCATGTCCTTAGCTGCTGTCAGCCTACCAGTTCTCATATGGAGTAATGGAGCAAAAGTGTATTTCAATAGTTTCACATGAATATGGGGTTGCCTGGAGGTTTTACAGTCCTGCTGCCTTATGGTCTGAATCTACTGAGGGCAATGTTATGTTCTGCACCAATCACAGGCAGCCCAGGTAGTGACTAAAAGTAACAGATAAAGATTTTAAGTGGGCTTCAACACATGCAGCTGACATGGCTTCAGAGGAACATAAAGACCTGACACTGTACCAATGCCGACATATTGATCACAGAGGGGGTGCATGACTTTTTTCTGGCTTAAGCCAACCGATATTTATTTGCTATTAACAAAAAACTTCCCTGAGGACTTCTGAAAATATAAAGCTAAAAGAATTTGACATACGTAACATAGGCTGAGAACATTGACTTGCTAGTTCTTCAATCCAGGTGACTGAGTGTTGCATTGGTGCTCATGAGACAAATACATCCCTGCATGTGAAGCACAGAGAGCTTCAGGCAGTTTCAGGGCCCTGAAGAAGAAAAATCGGCTGAGGCAGTTTCACAAATAAGAGGCAGTATCCAGCCATTACACAGTTTATGAAAGGCATAAGGGTTTATATGTACCAGGACAGAGGGTGAGGAACACAGAAGCTGAAAGTAGTTCAAAAAAACCCTGCGGCTGCAGACAAGTTGCTTTATGTTCTAGACCTTGTGGAGTGCTTGAACATGTAATTGCTTTTATTATTTTTGTCATGTGCTTACCAGTTTAGTGATGAGGGGGGTGGTGGTGTGTGTGAAGCAGTTCTCTCCCCCGCCTGGAAGTAAAGCAGAGGCACATTCACATGGCCTCTATAGAGCTGCTTATAAATTGCAATGGTCCAACTAAGAGAGGTGTTGGGCTCTGTTCAGCCTTCATTATGGTTTAGAAATTAATGTTACCTGTGGTGGAGAACTGAATATCCCACTTGCTGTTTGCTGCCATACTTGCCCAATAGTGTACCCTGTAGCAACAGCTGATCACATTGTCCTACTAGACTGGCAATTCTTTTTTCAAGAGTGTAATAAAGTTGCCCAGGTATTAGTCTCACAACTATTTATGCCAGTTGAACTTCTTGTGCCATTTCCCTCCTTCTATTGAGCAGTCCTGCAGTATGCAAGGATCTTGGCCCGTGGATGTGCTTCTCCTCAGGATGACACTGGGGAAGACAGTTTTTGTTCCCTGTTGGTGGATGGAGAACTACTTGAAGCAGGAACGGCACTGAATATATGAAACATGGGAATCAGGATGCTGACAGTCTTGCATCTGGAACTGGGGCTGACACCAGTACTTCTCATGTTAATTAACCTTTTATGCTTTTCACACTGGTATGGCCTACGATACCCTCTATTCTGGCAAATGGGAACCATCCCACCATAGCCATGATTTTATCCTCATGTGGGACTTGCTGTTGTATCTCCCTTGCACAGTATTCACCTTTTTACACTCAGCTGCTTCCAATACCTCCTGACTTTCAACCGTCATAGAATCATAGAATCCTAGACTGGTTTGGGTTGGAAAGGATCTTAAAGCTCGCCCAGTTCCAGCCCCCTGCCACAGACAGGGACCCCTTCCACTAGAGCAGCTTGCTCCAAGCCCCTGTGTCCAACCTGGCCTTGAACACTGCCAGGGATGGGGCAGCCACAGCTTCTCTGGGCACCCTGTGCCAGCGCCTCAGCACCCTCACAGGTGCTCTTCTGCCTAAGATCCCATCTCAGTCTCCCCTCGGGCAGGTTAAAGCCATTCCCCTTGGCCTGTCCCTACAGGCCCTTGTCCCAAGCCCCTCTCCAGGTTTCCTGTAGCCCCTTTAGGCACTGGAGCTGCTCTAAGGTCTCCCCTTCAGGAGCCTTCTCTTCTCCAGGCTGACCCAGCCCAGCTCTCTCAGCCTGGCTCCAGAGCAGAGCTGCTCCAGCCCTCGCAGCATCTCCATGGCCTCCTCTGGCCTCTCTCCAACAGCTCCACGTCCCTCTGGTGCTGCTGCCCCAGAGCTGGATCAGGGCTGCAGGGGGTTCTCCCCAGAGCACAGCAGAGGGGCAGGATCCCCTCCCTGAGCTGCTGCTCACTCTCTGGGGGTGCAGCCCAGCACACGGGGGGATTCTGGGCTCAAGCTCACACTGAAGCCGGGTCACGGGGAGCTTCTTGTCAATCAACACCCCGAAGTCCTTCTCAGGGCGGCTTTCTGCCCATTCTCGTCCATCCTGTGTTTGTGCTCGGGATGCCCGGCCCAGCCGCAGGCCCTCACATTGTACCATCCTGCAAGCAGTCGTTAGCGAGGAGCCCGCGCTGGGGATGTGTGCGGCGGGTACATTTTCTGCTGCACACTCTCCCTTGGGCTGCTTTAGGGTTTATTTTCGATGCCGTGGCTGACGGGTGAGCTCGTTCAGGACGATACGTCCTCCTCCCGGTACGACTTCTCCGGCCCCACTCAGCGTGCACAGCCGCCGACGCCCAGCAGGGGGCGCGCTCCTTCCCCGTTACCACCACCACCGCCCCTCGTCGTGCACGCTGGGAGTTGTAGTTCGTGCATACCGACTTCCCGCTGGACGCGCCGGCCGCCGGACTACAACTCCCAGCGTGCTGCGGGGCGCCGGGCCGGCCGTTCCTTTTGAATGATTTCACTGCGGTCGGCGCTTAGGGCGAGCATCGCAGCAGCGGCGCTCGGGGAGCGGCGGCTCAGAGGGCGTTTCGCCCGCGGATGGCAGCCCGAGGGGGCCGCGTCATGGCTGTGCGTGGGCTGCGGTGCTGCTAGGAGCCGCACACGGGCTGCGTGTTCGCCCCCTCGCTCGCTCGCTCGCCCGCCCGCCCGCCGGCCGAGCCGGCTGGGAGCCGGCGGGTGCTCCCGTCGACATGTCGTTGGCCATGGAGGAAGAAGAATACTCCAAGCTGCTGATGGAATCAGAGCCCGAGTGGCTGCGGAGCGAGATCAAACGGCTGTTCCAGGAACTGGGCGAGACCACCCGGGAGAAGATCCAAGCGGCGGAGTACGGGCTGGCCGTACTGGAGGAGAAGCAGCAGCTGAAGCAGCAGTACGAGGAGCTGGAGCTGGAGTACGAGACCATCCGCACCGAGATGGAGCAGCTAAAGGAGGTGAGGCGGCGCCGGGGGAAGGCGCCTTTTGGGAGGCGAAGGCGGCTAGGGGAAGGTGGGAGCGGGGCAGGTCACCGTCAGGGGAGCCCGGGGCGATGGGGCTGTGGTGGGGCACGCGGGGAGTCCGGGCTGCCGGAAGAATTCGGAGGCGGGCGAGCAGGCCTCAGTGTTGCTGCCTGCGGCGCGGTCAAACCGTTCTCCAAGATGACAGCTCTTAGAGACAATTGATTTTCAGACCAGGAAAGTGGAAAAATAAAGGGGGGGGGGGGGGGAGGGCGTGTATCTGCCTCTAACCCCCTGTGTTGTGCCGGGGGAATGTGCGAGGGAAGCGTGTAAATGCTTTTGTGTCTCTTCCCGTCCCCTCTTGTCTCAGGCTTTGGTGGCAGGTCGGCCTTGGGGCTGCAGCCAGGAAAAGAAGGCTGCTCTCGGCCGCCCCCAGCGAAGCGGTGTAGCGCTTCCCCGGCGGGGGCTGTCGGCCCCGACCGCTCCTCCGAGCGGGCGGGGCCAGGTTCGGGAGCATCTGGAGGCTTTTGTGTGGAGGGAGGAATCCTGCGTTGGTGTCAGTAACTTCCTTACCGCGGACCACCACAGAAATAACATAGCACAGAAAAAGGCTTGAAGACAACTTATTTTTGTTCTTATAGGGCAGCAACACTTAAGAAGATTGTAAAAGTTATTAAAAAAAAAGGGGGGGGGGGTAAGAAAATGGCAGGATCTGCAATGATTCACTCCTTTTTGCTTTTAATGTTTTGAAGGTTTTGCTTTGTGTATGCATGTCTTGTTGTAATTAAGTCGAAACCTGGGAGGCAAACAATTCTGGCAACAGCTTGGAGACCCTCCTAGGTAGCCTACACAGGGAAAAAGCATTGCTCCTCTAGTTTTTCTTGTGATGCTGTAGAAGAATCTGGTCTGCATTAGATCTTTTAAACCTTTAGCAGATGCATGAAGCGTGCTGTCAGAGGAGGAGTTTGTCTTCTTTGCTGCTTATTCAACTTCTTGCTTTTCCCAGGCACAGCTAGAGGAGTGTTGCATACAAGACTTGCCACATGTCAAGCTCCAACCTAAAGGGACTCCACCTTGGGTTACCTGAGGTTGTTCTTGGGGAGGCAGGGGATTAATGGGTAGCACGTCAGACTAGAACAGGAATGCTTTCCTTCTCTTGCTTCTTAACTGTGACTTCATGCAGGCTTTTAAAATGCAGCAGTTCTAGTCTCTATAGATTTATTCTTTTCTACTGTATCTGGAGCCCTCAATAGCACAAGGCCATGTTATGCCAAATGTTATGAAGGCATACAGAGAAGTTTCCTGCACTGCTTGGGTGTTGTAGGTTTGGTTAAACTTTAATGTTATAAAGCACCCCATATCATGGCACTGTTCATACTGTAGGCAAATGGGCTCCCAGTTTAGGAAATTTGTAATATAATTTGCAGAAAGTGCAGGCTGTTCTGCTACAGTCATCAGATCTTTCATAGCTTTCTGGTCAGGTTCTCCTACCTGTCTCCCATCCCTAACTTTGGCAGAATGTCATAACCTTAACCTCCACAGTTTTATCTCTTTGGTAAGTGCAGATGGCATCCTCAGAGCTGTACCCCATTTTATAAAGATGGCTGTGTGTATTTCCAGTGTTTGCAATTCAAGTCCTCCTGGTGAAGCTGGGGAGCTGTTCTGTCTTGCACTGAGGGTCCATACCAACCTCTCTTTAGTCATGGTCCTTGATAAATTGTCAGCTCTCCTCAGTTCGTCCCTTTATCTGCTTTGTGTGCATACTTGATCTCAGATCTTTTATGGTAATTTGTGCTGCATTTCTTCTATCGATTTGAGAGAACTAAATTTAAATACAAACTGTCTTCCTAAGTAAACTTATTATCTTGAGTCTCACCTTTGCTTTTGTAAAAGGGAACTGATTTCAAACTTTTATTAAACATTATACATGTGTTCCCTAACTCAAAGGAATAAGATACTGGCTTTCTTGGAGTGACATCGTCACACTGTATGCGTATAATTTTTACTGCTGTTTTTTTTCCGCTTCTAGGAGATGTAATAACGAAGAGTTGTTTCTGTAGGCTGTGTTCAACTAGTAAGTCATTTGGGAGCCTTTGTCTGCAGTCGTGCTGATCGTGTAAATTACAGGGCTTCTAACATGTCTGAGCTGTCAAAGACAGGTAGGGCCAGCTCTCTGCATGCTCCAGCCTACAAAATTGATTGACTGGGGGTTCTGTTATTTGTGTTCTTGATGATTTGTAGGGGAGGATGGCATAGAATGTTAACTTAAATAGGGTAGTGCTTCACTCAGTACTTTTGAGTTGCTTTTGAGATGTCAGTTAGATTGATAACTATGAGCTCAGTTATAAAACTGGCTGCTGTCCAAAGCTCCTTTCTGATTAGGTAGTTATGTTGCATTGGTGGTTATAGACTTGCATTTAAATCCTTTGGAAAACATGAGTGTTATGAATTACTTAGTTCTGTAATATAAAAGTATGCAAATAGACTGTGGCTGTCCTAAGAGTCTAAAAGCATGTGTCAGTGCATCACAGTTAATGTGATGTATATAGTTTATATATGGGGGGTAGGGGGATGCTTATAAGGAGGGCTGGTAGTGATCTGGAGGGTGACCTTATATCTGCTGGCTTTTATTTTATTTTTTTTTTTTTTTTTGCTTTTAAGGATTGTGTATTGACTTTATACCATGATTTGTATTGTCTAAAGGATTCCTGGTAGACTTGGAAGCTGTCTTTGACAGAAAACATTCAAATAACACATTCCTGCTTCGTTTCTGACTAGGCTAAAGTGGGGTGTCTTATGCAGCTGAGGTAACATGTTCCGGGCTGTAATATTTGTGCTGTTTATTTAAATGTGCTGCTCAGGTGGAGTGTACAGTATCTGTGATCACTGACAGAAGTTTTGATTTGCTTAATTCATTTAAATATGTAACAGTTACTTGGTTATGTGATACATCATCCAGATTGGTTTAGTGTTTTTACTGTGCACCTTCAAAAGTAGCGGTGATTTTTCCTTACTGTGTTAATCTAATTTCAAAACATTTTACCAATTGTACTACTGTATTGCTGTGCTCATCTTGTGTGTAGGAACATAAGGGCAAAGAAGGTAAAAATGGCTGGGCTAGAGTCACATAACAAGCCAGTGGCAGACTGGGATTAAATCCTCTGTGCTCATAGTTCGGTGCTGGATTGACTGTTTTTTCCATTCTGTCATAGTAAATAATGATGTTCAGTAGCTCTATGGCCTCAGGTACACCTCTGCAGCCTCCTTCTAATAAACATTCAGGTGTGATATTGATTCCTGCTGAAAGGGAAGGACCTTAATGACATTTGAGATTACCCCTAACCTTCCAGTGCTGTTAAAACAAAGGAAATGTGTTTGGTGGTGGTTTTTTTTTGTTGTTGTTGTTGTGTTTGTTTTTTTTTTGTGGTTTTCTTTCTTTTTGTGTATGTGGGTTGTTGTTTTTTTTTGTTGTTTGTTTGTTTGTTCTTTTTAATAGAATTTAATTCTGCTTATACACATGTAAATCTAGAATAAGTACAACTACAAATTGATATTGGGGAACTGATATAACTATTTTCCATTAGTATGTGAAAACTCATACTTCTGTGAACCTATTTTGTGGATTTAATGGCAATTTTTACTTGGACCCTAGCACCTGCAACAGCTCAAATGTTAAGAATAGAACAGAATTGCTGTGTCTAGTGTAGAAACAGACTGGAAACTGGTTGAGGTAAGTAAAATGCTCCCATGTAAACTAAGTTTCTTATATTTTGGTAAGTCATAATTGATGTACATTAAGAATACCTGTAATTAATCTGATGCCTGCAGTGGTAAAGACCCTTAGTACTGTATTTTGGAAAAGCTACTTTTCTTACATATCCGTATTTTGGGAAAAAGAAAATCTGGGAAATTAAACATTCCAGTTTTTCCTGCTGTACTAGAAATAGTAATCTGTCAGGCTTCATGTTGCTAACTTCATTCTCTTTGCCGCTGCTGCTTGAACTGCCTTTCTTAAAAATCTGCTTAATTATATTCTTAAAGTGATGATTTCAAATTATGTTCTTGTGAAATTGCTGAATTTTATTATTGGCCTTTTTCTGATAGAATTTCCTACACCTGAGGTAATATAACATCCATAGATATTTGGGTGACTTAAGTTGTTAGAAACACCCATGTTTCCAGAGTAGCGTTTTTCTCTAAGCTGCTGTAGTCTCAGTTGAGAGCTGGGTCTTGGTGAAACATCATGTTTTACTTCTGTTTTGTGATGCTTTTCTGTGCCTCAGCCCTCAATGAGGCTGTCCCTGACCCTCCAGCAAGTATTAGATAATGTGTTTCTAATTTTCTACATTAGATTAAACCCAAGGTTCAGGAAACAAAAGCTTGTGTTTGCTGTCCTGGTGGAGGGGATAAATGAACTGTGCTCTTTTTTTACTGTGGTTGTTTTTTTTGTTTGGTTTTTTTTTTTTGTTTCTTTGTGTTTTGTTTGTTTGTTTTTTGTTTGGTTTGGTTTGGTTTTGGTAGCAGATTTCTTCTTGCTTTTGAGTTACTTCAGTTCCCAGATTTGGGTTTCAGGTGTGTGCAGCTACCGCGTCTCAATGAACCTGTTGCAGTAGCAGCAAAGAGTTAATGAGAGGAGTATTTCAAGCTAGCCTTGCTGCTGAGCTTGACCATTAAACTGCTGCCTGAATAGTCCAAACCCCACAGCCTGTGCAGTGTGCGTGGGTCCATCTCATCGGGCTGCTGGGAATTAGCAGTCCTGGTGTGCTGCTGTGGCAGCAGCATTATTGTCAGGCTGGCAGTTATGGTAGTGGTCCCTACTGGGATGTAGTCTCTCTTGCAACGCTTTCTGTCTTTACCCAGATAAACTGTTCCTGTTAGAGACTTGCATTTGGCATCATTCAGTGCACAGTCCCAGATGGGGACAGCTGAGAGTTGAGGCTCTGCTTGTGGGCTGGAGGGCTGCTGTGGTGTTGAGAGACAAGGTGACAGGGTCAGCC